AAGATTGACACTAATTGTTGGTGAAAATCAATGTTAAAAGTTACATAACAGTGTTTGTTCATTTTGTTATTATCAAGTGGATTGAATAGAAATTGATATTTTACTCAGTTATTATTCTCATTAGTGACTGGCTTCAAGAGGTATTTCCTGGAGTTCTAGTGAGAAGCATTGACCAGTACAGTTCAACCGGGTTATTTGTGAGACAGTAACCCACTGAAGACAATGGTGGACGGTGGTTGAACTTAGACATTAATACAATTGGATGCTGACTCAGTGGTGTAGAGGTTAAGCGCTGTTGAGGAGTCCCATATTAGGACGAAACGGTCGTCCAGTGCTTCCAGGTTTTTCATGGTGGTCTAGCTACTATTTACTCATGATCTCAACTATTAAAATTACTATAGTATCCGCAAATCCCACACAATATTACCACACGGGATTAAGATTATCAAAACAAATTTCAGAGTAATTGATGTAGTAACACTACTATTAATAGTATTGGACATTAGATATAAACAGTGTGATGAAAGGGAAAAAGAACGAATTGACGCAATGAATAAAGTAAATAAATGATTTTAAAACTCAGGTTCTAAGAGAAGCTAAAGAGCGAATATATCTGTGTCATTGTGACTGATTCTGAGTAACACATCACGATGTCTCAAAATATTGGTAGTGGCAGACAAATAGATTCTAACCAAGTAGTCTGAATCCGTTAGGATTGTTCAGTTTATTAATCAACATCTCCATGTACTGATGCTCTGTCTTGGTTTGAAAGCCGATAAATTTTCTCCAATCTATTTCTAAACTGATGAATTTCAGCTACACAAACCAATGAATGTTTACCATTTCACCAATCAGTTTTCTAATTATACCTAGTACCTTAAGTTCAACTTTATCATTGCTCACTCAACGATCTCAACACATAATAGCAATAAATCCAAGACCTCTATAAGGAAATATTAATAACTTATTTGCGAAGCTACGTTATAAAAATTGAAATAGACTGAACCACTGAGAAGTGAACTCATTCTCCATTTGTCACACATTTATCACACTTAAAACAATAGATAACTCAAGTTGTCAAACACAAACCAACTTTATCAAACACTAATCCATTAATGATAATAAAAGTCCCTGTTTAAATCGATCGATCATCACTATAGAAACACAAACTAATATTTTTAATGAATAAAATCAGTAAAATATCCATTAAACATTATAATAGTTATGCATAAAATATTCGATTAATAAATTAAACGTTTATTTGTCTCAAATTAAAAAGAGAGAAAGGAAATAACAATCAAAAATCTTAGTTTCTCCAAACAAAAACAAACAAAAGGTAAACATAAAGAAGAAAGAACAAACAACAAATTATGAATATGGAGAATAATATCAAAGATGACAATGACGATGATGATGATGAAGAAGAAGATGAAGATAGTGTTCCTTGAATGTATACATGATTGACATTTACCAAACTCATAAACTATAATTATTTACTTATTAATAAATCATTTACCTTTAATAAATTAATGATTAATTCATGTGTTCATTTGTAATGTAAGCTATTAATAGGTAAATAATATCGGGTTTTTATTATTATTTTTTTGGTTGAGATAACTAACATGTGCTCACTAGTGACTAGCTTCGTGAGGGAATTCTCGGAGTTCTAGTGAGAAGTCGTGACCAGTGGAGATAATCCGTGTCGGGTAGAGACAGGTATCTACCTCAGTACAATGGAAGTTGGTCGCGCAATTTCGTGGATTGGTTGATGTTAGACACTAACACCATTGGATGCCGGCTCAGTGGCCTAATGGTTAAGTGCTCAGGCGCGAAGCCAGTAGGTCCTGGGTTCGAATCCCGCTCACGGAATCGTGGATGCGCACCGCTGAGGAGTCCCATACTAGGACGAAACGGCCGTCCAGTGCTTCCAGGTTTCCAACGGTGGTCTAACATCAATTGATTCATGATCTCAACCAAAAACTTAACAATCTCCACAACCCCCATACTGATATTATTTTTTTGTATATAATAATAAATAGTGGTAATCTCAGTGTTTACAATTATTATCAATGGTGTGTTGTGTTAGGGAACACGCACACACACACACACGTACGAAAAACACACAGTCTTCATTGTTGATTACACAAACTACTATTTTTAATTATTATTAATGTGAATATCATCAAAGATTTAGATACTTGATAATGGTTTATTATAAAATATATACAATTCAATCGAAAAGACTATAATCAATTATAAATAAGTGTGTACATTAGATTCAGCTACATTTTATATGATATCTGTCTTAATATAGTTTATAATTGCAATGCAAAAGATACATGTATGAATATGAATTTAAACATAAATCAGATATGATGAGAATGGGGTTTGTGGAGATTGTAATAATAGTTGAATTAGTTGAATTCATGAGATGATCACAAAAAATCATTGATCAATTAAAGTTAGACAACAACACTATTGGATGCCATTTCAGTGGTGTAGAAGTTAAGTGTTCACGCGAGAGATCGAATGTCTTGATTTCGAGTCTTGCATAGTACATACATACTGATGAGTAGTCCCATACTAGGAAGAGATGGCCATCCAATGCTTCAAGGTTTTGAATGGTGATCTAACTTACATTGACTCATGAATTTAATTATCATAAACCAGACAAACTTTTTTCTTAATCATTCTCCTTGATTTTTTTGTTTTAAAGAAATTTAACTGAATAATAATATTTACAATGAATTATAATAATTTTAAGTTTTGATAAACTTATTCATATGTACTTGCGTATGAGCCGTACTCTAAGTATGAAGGCTAGTGATACTATTCGGTAACTCCAAACAAAGCAGGTGAAATAATAAAACCGACTAATAAATATACTGGTCTGGGGATTTGTGGAGATGGTAGTATTTTCATAATTGAATTTACGAGTCAATCTTAGCTGGACCACCATTCAAAGCCTGGACGCACTGCATGACCGTTTCGTTCTACTACGAGACTACTCAGAGGAGTACACTCACGATCTCACACGTGGCACTCGAATGTAAGACCTTCAGTCTCCTGCGCGAATGTTTAATCTTCAAGTCTCATGCGTGGGATCGTGGATGTACACTGTTGAGAAGTCCCATACTGGATATGTCGCTCAATTTGGTGGGTTAGTTCAAGTTAGACATTGTCGCCATTGAATGCCGGCCAGCGCGATGGTCTAGATGTTAAGCACTCATGCGCGATACCGATAGGTCGTGGATTGGAATCTCGCAAAGGTGGAATCGTGGATGCGGACTGCTGAAGAGTCCCAGACTAGGACGAAACGGTCGTCCAGTTCTTCTAGGTTTTTCAATGGTGGTCTAGTTTCAAATGACTCATGATCTCAACCACTGAAATTACTATAATATCCACAAAAACCCCTTTCTGAAAATATTAACTCTAGAAATGAATAAAACAATCACTTTTTCTATTTCTTTCTTCTTAAACAAATGAGTACATAAAAAACAATGAATTAAAATAAATTGAAATTGGAAAATAATTAACCTATGATTACTGATCGGACTAGAAGTTTGATATGTGATGTATGTAATCTAGTTATTTTCGACATGTTGTTCAGAACTTGTGAAATATTGACTTGTGAGGAGTGAGCTGATTTTCGTTCTAATCGAGGATATATTGAACATATCTTCATCCTCTGTCAAATGTCAGAATACTGCCATAATTATTACAGACTGAGTCGTTATATTTCTTGATATCACAGTGGCCTATAATTCGTTAGATAATAGAGTTCTATGGGATTGTCTGTTGAAAGATTGTTTGTCTGAGAAGTTTTTTAACATCTTAAAACTTCAAATACAAATACGTCGATGAGGGCAAGGAAGTGCAACAACTTCTCTATTGTGTCATATTATTAGTGGGGTTAATTAGGGTTTCCTAATCTCACGATTCCTCTTTAAATTTACTATCGAGAGTATTCTGGATACAGATATGGAGTAAATGGCAATAATCTGCATCTGTGCACTGTAGAGAAACTTTAGAGTATTAAGTGTCCAGATAATTTTGGCCTACCAGGCAATTAGCTATGCAGTCAATATTTAAACAGTTGGTCACTGTTCGTATAAGTGACATGCACTCATTACAAAGTACTTTTGTAAGACAGGAAAGAGCATTTGCACTTACTCTTGTCAATGAGCCGTTAGAAGTAGTCAAAAGTTTCGTATATCTGTAAAGTAATGTGGGTGCTGGTAGTACCTTAACAGATTAGACGAATCTATGTATAGTGAAACCCAAAGAGAACATGAGAATATGGGGTAACTTTGGGACAGATGTTATATTAATCTGACTGTTTAAAAATTCGGGTTTACAAGGCGTCGATGAGCCTTTTTTTATGCCTGTGAAAATTAACCTCTCCTAGTTAAGGAAGTTAGACGATTCTATCTACCCTAAAAACAACAGTATTACTCATCATGACTCCAAGTAAATGGGCTTCTGACGATCATTTGTAAATGAAAAATTATTAGCTTGGGATCTATGATCACTTAATATTAGATGGTGATAAAAAATGAAATTCAAAATTTTATGCTAAATCATTTAAATATATGTCGGTGTAGGTTTGCTTGATTTTACTGAGATCATGAATCAAAGTTAACAACCATTGGAAACCTGGAAGCATTAAATGTCCGTTTTGTTCTAGTATGTGACTCTTCAGAAGTGCATATCCATAACCCCTCACGTGACGATCAAACCCAGGACCGTCAGTCTCGTGCCTGAACGCTTAACCTCTATACCAATAGGCTAGTAACTACTATATATATACAATAATAACGATATAAAGACTAGTGATATGCTTAGAAACATATTATTCAAAGTTTTACCGAAAATTTAAGTGTTAGAACTTAGCTGATTGATAATATTGCAAAAGAATAGTACAACACTGTAATCTAGAAACCAAATTTCAGACATGATAGGATAGACATACATCTGGAGTCCTTCGAATTTTTAGTTTCTTAATTCATGATATCTGATTCAATATTTTTTTGACACAATCTATATTTATTGATCGAATTGTTTTTTGTTGTACAAATGACATGACTATTATTCCACTTTTGTGATATCTATTTATGGATAGCAAAGATCCTTATAGAAGAATATCTAAGAATGTATTTGTTAAATATTATAATGAATCCAATAGATAGAGTGATTTGTGTCACAGTGGTGTATCAGAAGAAAGTCTACATACCTGTTTCCACCGATCTTATTTCATACAAACTAGCTCATACTTTCTGTGAGTGTGCTGATTAAAAACTTTTAAGTAAATGACTAACAACCAACGTTATATAAAACAATTGGAAGCAGAAATATGACATATTACAGCAATGTAAAACATTCTGAAATGCATAGTCTTGAATTGAAGTGAATACTATATGTTAAGTAAAACAGATTTAAAACGTCAACTTCAATAAGCAAAAGTTATCTTTCTCTATTTTTGTAAGGATGAAGTATAATTAGAAATGTAAGGTTTTATACAAGTAAAATGAGATTATTTGATACTCAAAGAAACTGAATATTTATGATAAGTTTGTTTATTCAGACTGTTATTCATAAACTAAATATACACTTTGATTGACAATGAAAATGTTAAACACTTTTAAAAGACCTACTTATTTAAGAAATGAATATGATTTGAAAAGTTCATCACATGATAGGATGATCCATCTTACTTATTTACAAATCGATACCAGATCGGTTGATAAATATTTTCAGTGATGAATGTAAATAATAGACGAAGTCATAATCTGTCTTTTACAACTGCTATATTTGTTAACATCAATAGAAAATAATTCATATAGCATTAGCGATGTTTGTTTGCGTGTGTGTGAAAATTCCATAATGCTGTTAGTGTACAATATCAGCAGCAAATTAGGTGAGATGAATTTCATCTGAAGTACCATTTTCATGAACGTTGTAAGAATTATCTTTATCATTCATGAAAATTGTATCCATAAAGTTTCATCTATTGTAAGGGAGGATAAGAAACGAAGATCTGGAGCTGAAGCCGGATTAATAGATATAGAGAGATCCCCAGGGGTAGTTGGCAAACTCTGATTCCAGAACCGTGGTATTCGCCAAATTCAAAAACCTGTAGGAACGAATGGTGTGAGTACCAATATTTATTAATCAGGTACGAATAAAGGCCAACCCTTGACATTACTCTACTGAGTTGCAAAATCGATTTCCATTTTAAGGGGCTTTAGCAGTCAGTCTCTAAAGAAACCACTTACTTCGCCTAAACTCGTGATTAGTGTCATGGCCTACACAAATTTTTATGTAGCATATAATATTTTTAGTGTCCAGCTGTACTAAATTTCATAAGTTAAACAAAAATCGATTATTTTGGTTCTCAAATATTGTATGATTATGACTAAAATTTACACTTAATTGTGTTACAATGATTAATTCTAAAATATATTGAACATACTAAAAGTTATCAAACTTACTTTTGTCATTAATTGTGGATCAGTGAAATCCGGATTAAGATATGTATTAGTTGGATCATCACATGATTCTGACATACCGGAAATAGATGATACATGACCATCGGTTGAAGATAAACGAGGTGAACTTTGTCTTGATTTACATTGTTGTGAATCAGACATTTTAATAGACGATCCCTGTGATGAATTTAACAAATGTTTCCTCATTTCATTAGTTGTTGATGGTGATTGATTTGGACTGTCGAATCTTGGATGACGTATTCGCATAATTTAAATCAAACGCTTCCTTTTTTTTGAGAAAAATTATTATAATCCGTATAAAGTTAATATTTCTGTTATTAAAATATGAATTGTTATATTTATGAACGTAATATAACGTCAGTTGTCGTTTTAAAGACTCAAATTTTTCTCAATGTACTGAAATATTCATTATTCAACAATATAAGCCAATATCAACCAATAACAGGTTGACTATGTTATAAATCATATTTTACTGCATTCTAATTGGACAATATTATGAACCAATCAAATTGAAGTATTTGAAGATCATATGAATCAGATGTGTTGTATTAGTTTATTAAAATCTTAGCCATATGAACCGATTATTATTATTATTATTATTATTATTATTATTATTATTATTATTATCATTATTATTATTATTATTACTTGAGATTTACACAATGAGTTAAGATAAAGAGGATTAACTTTAACATTATTAATATTTTATTTACACTTTCTTTTACGACTTTTGATGAAAAGTACAGTTCGATAATAATAATTCAGACTAAAAAATTGACATTCATTTTTTTTCTACACAGAATTAAGTAATGAATTGTAATTTAGTAATTAAATAGAAATTACTTAACAATAGCACTATGACAATGTCAATTATACAACAGTTTGAAATATTCCTTAAAGAAGCACTCGAACCATACCCTGAAATGCTTTAAGTAATCAAATATTATGTACATAAAAAATCTAGATATTAAGTAAAGATAAGTGACTGAAAATATTGTAAGACTGAGAATAGGAATGTAACTTGTCAGATATATAGTAGTATTTGAGCTAGTTAAATTCGCTTGGACTCTTTCTTAAACAATTGCTTGTTCTGATTCTGTATATAGGTTTGGTAACTCCACCTCGTAAAAAAAAGTAATTTACTACAAAATCATAAACCATAAACTTTGCTTTGAGAGTTGAAGAATCTTTATATAGAAGAGTTTTGAGATTTATTGATAGAAACTAAGGAAAGACACTCAGGATGACAGCAGTAGATAATAAATAAAAATTGTTCTATGAAACTACGGGTAACTTGATTCATTGTAATTTCTTTAATGATGGCTATTAATTCTAGAATGCTTTGTATTTTCATTTAGTATAAATCAATGATGTTCAAGATTACCTTTCTTATTTTTAACTTAAACTTTAATTAACTGTTCCAAAATCAATGAACATTTACACTGTGCTCAACAGAAATTCATTTTATTCAGTATGTATACAGATCTATCTATATATTAAGGTACATTTTTTTGGGTGAATTATTCGTTGTCATTACTACGCTATTTATATGCCTTAAATACTACAAATATTTAGTCTGAACCGTCTATCACGTAAAATTTACCATATTCGGCTTGAGAAGCCATGATGAATTGAGTATCTTCAAGTGTAAGTATTACATGTTGGGTTCATTGAATTGTTGATCAATATATATTGCAAACAAACAGACAGAAGCTGTTATAAATGGAGCTGAAACATATCAATGGTTAAGAAGATATCGAGAGAAGAACATGGAAGGTAATTGTACAATAGCATGTACTGATTTAAGTTGGAGTTGTATACCATCAGATTTCGACTGATTGGTCTGGAGGTTAGTTAGTCACGAGTGAGACCGAGAGTCAAGGGTTTAACTCCTTCACATAAGTTCGTGGATGCTTACTGATGGGAATTCCTATGATAGAACGATAAGTCTGTCCATTGCTTCCGGAGTTTTAATAATTGTCTAACTTACATCGGCTCGTAGTAGTATCAATACATCATATTAAGTTGCACAGAATAAACTGACAGGATAATCAAAAAATTTCGAGTGAATGAGAAATAAAATTAGTAGACAGAAAAAATAAACGTAAGAAAGAATGCTCAATCTTTAGGAATGATAAATTTAAGGAAATTTGCATGATTTTAATCTAAAACTTTTAAGAAGCTTGAACCGACAAACATTTCATGCTCAATTAAACTCAGAGTATATAGACAATGCAATTAAGATGACATTTGTCTGAAAGCCAACATATAAAAATTTTCCAAATTCGACTGACTAAAAATCTAGTGTGACCATTATTTAGTATCAAGTGCTCTCTAATGAGAATTTACTGAGTCTACTAAGAAGAAAATATAAACCGATAAATTATTGACTGATGCCTAAGTCTTATCATGCACTTCGCAAGATCTCAAGATTTTGGGCTTGAAATTTCATACCAGTAATAAGTTTGAAAATACAAAATAAAAACCATTCACCGTTGTTTGCTTTTCAGTGATACCCCAGTAAGTTTCAGTCTCATATATTACTAATATTCAAAATAAACAGACTTTCAGTTGATAATCCTAAATTTTATTTACATACACTCAAGAGGATCAAATTTTGTCCTATCTTAACCTAGATGTAAAATTTTTTATTATAATGAAAGTTGAACTTATACACCATCAAATCTCGAGTAATTGGTCTAAAGGTTAATTAGTCGTGACCGAGATCTAGAGCCATGAGTTTAACTCCCTCATGTAAGTTCATGAATGCTTACTATATACCAATATCAACGATTATTTGCATACAAAACATTGTTTCAAAGTAATAAATTACACTATTTAATCTATACAAAATATTATAGTAGTCAAGGCATGGAAATCATCACTTACAACATTGTCTTTAATAGTCATCTATGAATTTATCAAAGTAATAAGCTTATAAAGTGGAAGTGATTACAGCATGTTATTATTAGTTGAAAATTGAAGGTTAATAATTTATCGATGCCATTATTATTATTAAGCATCTATTTACTTTGCTAAAGCAATAGATATATTCTGAAGACGTGGGGAAATAACAAAACAAGCAGAAAGAAATATTCTTCTTCTTGTTTTAATCATTGAAGGTATGAAAATTTATGATTCATACATATTGAACTTTTCAGTATTAATTTTTATCAGATTAAAATTTTTTATCTCTCTCAGTCTCTCTGTATGTCCCTCTCTTTCATTCATTCATTCATTCACTCACTCACTCACTCACTCAATCACTTTATTCCTAATCTCTTATTCCAATGTGTCTTATGCTACTCATATTTTTCATTAATTCTGTTGATTTCTTTACTTTGTATATAATGTACTCATGAAATAACAACACGTATATATGTATGTGTATGTGTTTTACGTTGTTTGTAGATTATGATATACATATACATAATGTGTACTATTTATTTAAGCATATATACACATTAAAACTGAAGTCCACATATCATTTTATGACAGACTGACAGTTTTTCTTTTGATCTAAGATGAATTTCTAAACGCCACGTTTCATATTTATTTACTATGACTTGTAATGTTCTTCTTTCATTCTAAAATGTCTATTGAGACAGTTTTGACAATTTGGTTAATAGAAAAATTAAATGATGTAGGTTAGTGCTTATGCCATGTGGTATATATATATATATATGTTTATCTTAAACTATATGTACAATCAACAGATTTCGGTCAAAACACGGTTTAGAAACTATGTTAGGATATTCAAACATAAAACATTAGGCAAAGATATGTATATATATATTGTTGGAAATACTTCAGTATTCTTTTCCATGAACGTGTATATTATCAGATCTAAACTTCAAATGGTATTTTCTAATACCTGTAAAAGATTCTAATAGATATTTTAAAAGAAATATAACATTAAATCAAATGATGATACCAGTTGTCATTTATTTGATTGAAGTATAATTTAATAAATAATAGAATTTTATAATATATAACATTTATGAAAGATAGAATTCATCATTGATAAATAGAATGTACAAATCACCGGCTTTCATATGCTTGTAAAATGTTAAAACTGAGTTTATTTATGGTACTGGAATGTATTTAGATATATGTGATATCTGTTAAAAGCAAACTCTTAAATGTTTCATATTTAGTTAGTATAGGGGATTTACAGTGATTGTTGAATTGCAGTTTAAATCACGAACTAATCTTATCTAGGTTATCATTGAAAATCTGGAAGTACTGGATGACTGTTTTGTTCTAGTACGGTGATTCTCAGAAGAGTGTATTCATGGTTCTGTACGTGGAGACTGAACCTAGGATATTCGTCCTCGCATAAGAATGCTTAAACTCTTGATAGTTTTCGAAATTATCGTGTAAAATAATACTAATGGTAATTTAAAGTGAAAGAATGCATAACGGGATGCATTCATTCAGTCTTCTTAAAATTAAAATTAATACTAAGACTACGTAGCAAATCGATATGAAGTTTGTATTATTCGATCTTGTTAACAAGGTGTATCTGTGGTTCTAACGAAACTAGATATAGCTCCTATAGAATTTATACATACTTGTATCACTGATTGTCATACACAGAAATGTTACCAATGAACTATTTTGATTACAATATACCTAAGATATTTAACTATCAGCTCTACTAGCATGTTATCAACCTCTCAGTACTAGCTGAATTAGGTCGATCTAATTTCAGTTCAGCAGTTAAATTTCAATATTTCTCAATGTAGTTAATAGAAGAAATTCAACCGTCAGTAGGTTTCACCCATGAACCTTTAACCAATACACCACTGAGCCGGTATCCAACGGTATTATTGTCTAGCTTCAACCAATCCACGACATTGCATGACTGTCCTCCAATGTCTTCAGTGAGTAACTGCCTCACACCAGACACAGTTGAACTGCATTGGTCAGGGTTTCTCACTACTATTCCAGGAAATCCATCTTGAAGGTAGTCACTAGTAATCACATCATAATTATCAGTATAGCGTTATGGAGATGGTTAAGCTTTTGATTGAAATCATGAGTGCATCAATGTTAAACCATCAAGGGATCGTGGATGCACACTTCTGAGGAATCCCATACTCGGACGAAACGGCTGTCCAATGCTTCCAAGTTTTCAATGATTGTCTAGAATTGACCAATTTATGTTCTCAATCAGAACTCAACAACCCTATACTTATTATATATATATATATATATATATATATATATATATATATATATAT